CACTGTAAAGGATCTATGTCTCCACTCTGAATGTCCTCATGCTCGCTGTCAGCCTGCATTTGTAAAGACACAGTGTGCGTGCTCACATGCATGAGTAAGCCATTATAACAATCGGGACAATCTACGCCGCCTCGGCTCGGACCCTTTTGAAAGTGGAAAATAAGGGGGGGAGAGTGATTCACAATAAACAAGAGGAAAGTAACTGGTCATAAGATTAGTACCTCCAGAGCCAGCGCCGTCTTGTCGTAAGCGTTGGGCACCCGCTTCTGAATTGCCCGGGCATAGACCGGCCCGTTCTGTAGGTTTGGGAGCTGAGTGTTGACCACAGGCTGAGCATACGGGCCCGGTTCCCCCAGAGCGGTGGCCTGAGGAGAACCTGTTCCATCTGTGCTGCCCATTACCCCGCCAACATGGCCGCCTTGTCCGGTCCCTGCGGGTACCGGACTAAGACTGGCTGCAGTGGGCGAAGAGGGTCGGAACCTTTCCACATAAGGCACAGGGATCATCCCGACTCGGCCCTCCTGGTTCTTGGCGTGCCACCACTGCTCCTCTGGTTTCTCCAGCACGCGCAAGATGTCCCCCCTGCGGAAGGGGAGGTCCTCATAGTCGTTGCCAGGGAAGTCAAACAGTGCCCGGACATATTCGCCTTCCTCGGTCTGCTGGGGAGGTCCGACAGCAGGGGGGCTGATGAGGCCTGACTGCCTGCCTCTGTTCACAGGCTCTATGAGCGTTGTGGTGTCCAGGTAGTGGATCTTGTAGAACTCCAGCAGAGCCGGCAGCCCATCAAACTCCTGATCCCCAATCCGAAACCGAGAAGGAGCCAATCCTGGTGGAAGAAATGAGACTTTATTAGCTTGCTGAAAAATAAAAAAATTAGGACAAACCCCTATTTCATAATAAAATAATAATAATTTTGCCACCTAGCCTGTTTGTTTTTTCTTTAATAAACACGTTAAGCTGTGCACACATAACCATTTTAGTGAAAGAGATGAAAGAGAAAATGAAAGTGTGCAAAGAGTCATGTGATCAATGTTACCTAATATAACTTAATAAGCAGTTATATAAATCTCTTGATATTAGAAGACAACTAATAACAGATATGAATAAGACCAAAGGCAGGTAGGTTCCTTTAGATCGACATGCAACATTAACAGTGATGATACTGTATTGTGATCGTAACTGCAGAATGACTGTCCAGTGCCCTTCCCTCCCATCCTCAGTAGTCTGAATTCTCAAGTACATTTGCCAAATAGTGTACTGAGCAAGCACACAAGTACAAACTTGGTGGTGTTAGAGAAACACCCACTGAAGTGGAGCTGTCCACTGTGCTTGTGCTGTTGGTGCCTGTGGGAAAATTTGTCATGTAACAAACTGACACATTAGACCTGAGCAGATTGTTTTTTGAGGGATAATAAAATTGACAATGCATCAATAAAGGCAAACAGTATCTAGCCTACTTCTCACTGATTTACCAATTTCCACGAGGGCTTGGTACAGCCAGCTAAACGACAGAAGAGAAGAGCAGCAGAGCAAGTTTCTGCAGGGCGTGGATTCAGGAATGACTCAATTATGACACTGTGTTACTTTGAGTTCAACTGTCCTGACTCAAACAGCACCACAGCTGAATTAAGCACTTGTTTGTCATTTCAAAATAAATGTGACAACTATGAGGTGAATCATTTTGCGTACAGTCTTTTACCGTCTATGAGGCCATCCCCTGATTTACTACTGGGAAACAAGACACAGGGAAGTTCAGAAAGGACGAGGATTGTGCAACAGCCATTAAGAGCCTCAAGCACAACGGCAAAACCTGCAAGTACGGGTGTGTGTGTGCAATAGGGCCTGATCACAGACATTCCTGAAGCACCAATCTGACCAGTCATCCCCCCGTTGTGACAGCGGAACTTCCCCAGTTCATTCAACCTCTGCAGCAGCAGCAGCAACAGCAGCAGCAGTAACCAGCTCACCTTACCTCTTTACCTGCTGAAGGGTAGTCCTGCTGCTAAACAGGGACAAAACACCGCCAAAAAATATATTACCCTCAACAAAAACAGCGGCTGAATGACTAAAACGCGGTTGTTTACTATCCCTTAAAGAAACCTCCATCAACCACACATGGGGATTAGATTCAATAACACTACTCACCTTCCTTTTTCAGTTAAAAGCAACACTGACTCACAGAACTTAGTAAAACTATATACCAGTTTTAAAAGACAGCTTTAATAATCACGGAAAGTTATAAACCTACATGTTACTGTACATATATGTTAGTGGCTTTAGGGAGGTAATGTTAATTAGACAATTCCAGAAAGGAGTTCAATGTTGCCTGAGGAGTTTGTGGGCGGATAGTGGAGATTTATTACATACATGCCGACTTTTTAAAATAGTTTTAAAAACCCAGAAAGATGTAGATTTATAGGGTAAATAGGGGGAAAACATTTTGGATTTAGTAAAATCTTGTTAAATAGGACAATTCCTAAAGGTAGTCTGGCTGGTTGGCGGAAAGAGGTGTGTACAGCATACCTACAAAGTTTTGTTTTGCATCCAAGATTTCATTATTATATGAATAATGATTTTAAAACTCAGCTTCAAAAACACTAAAATAAATAAATGTGTAAATCTCTAATGGTAAGATTTGAGTGCTTGTGGAGTTACTCTGATTTTTTTAAAATTGGACAATTCCAAAGGGGAGTCTGGCGTGGCTTGGGGATCGAGTGGGCGGTAGAGAGGTGTGTAAACCACATGTATAACGTTTTGTTGAACAGAGTGGTGATTTTTGTTATTACAAATACGCCGACTTAAAAAAGAAGCCTCCAAAACGCGAAAGGGTTGTAAATTTATTTGGTAAAACCAGGATATATTTGTGGATCTACTACTGTCTTGATCAATTAGACAATTCCGAAAGGGAGTCTGGCGCTGCTTGAAGAGCGAGTGAGCTAAATCCTAGCAAAGCAGGTTTAAAATGAAAGTACTCCTTATGTTAGAGCCAAGGGAACACGAAGAGGGTCAAGTTCAGTTAAAGTGAGAAGTAGACCAACGTTACCTGATCCAGATTGTCTGTTGTTGCTGATACTGTTGACGATATAATGGGACACTCTGGAGTTCTCCGACACGGAGAGCACGTAGTCTCCGGGGATGGTTATCGAGTCCCTCACGAGGAAAACACCATGTCTCTGTCCCTGTAAAAGAGAAACCGCCTCCTGGCGGCTCAGTCTCCCCCAATACCAGCTTGCACGGTCTTCGGCATCAAAATTACCGGCCATGGCTGTGAAATCCCTTCCAAGGCTTGAGGCCTTTCCCCTTCGCCTCTCCCTATCCGCAACTCATACAAAAACTTTGGTTGACTAACACTCCCGTTGGAAAAACGTCACAACGGCACGATTTTCGTAACGTCTAAGCGTAATATCAAGGGGTTTATTTCGGCGGAACGAATTCTGCACCACAAATCCAAATTATCTACTATTTGTTGTTTAAAATAACTAAAAAAAATCATAACTATCGTGCAACAAGAAACTCCAAGGCTGAAATGGCGGATCTAGGGAAAAGTTGACCTCATCTACCGGAAGGGATGCCCGGTCAATGGGAAGCGGTGCGTTCACGCCCATTAAAAGATTGGAAATCTACCAAACGAGCTTTCATCTCCGTTTAAATTACGGCTACATTTAATGCGGATGCCTTCTGTTTATATTAGTTTGCATGTGTTTTTTTACTGATTATGTCGTCTTTGTCTTAGCTCACAAATGTACAAATTTTAAATCCTTGACATGACTGGAAGCCAAGCATCGCTCACCGACCGTAAGTTTATGTTGAAACAACAAAGGCACCACAGAAATTAAAAAGCGTTAACATTGTGAAAATCGTAAAATACATCTTTTGGGTTTGTTAGTTGTTGGTTTGTTTGTTTGTTTTTAGCATTCTTTAAGAGATCAAAATAAACTTAATATAAACTTTTGTTTATATATTAATACCGTCCTTGAATGGACTTGCACCAAATAAGTATGCCTCTATAAGAAGGAAAACAAAATATTAATAAAGATCTTAAATCTCATTAGCCTTTTTCTCAGGTTAGTTAGTCTGATGCTTAATTTCTTCCCGTATTTTAAATCACAAATTAAATAATGAATTAACCTCCGTCAGTTTTACCACCTACACCCAGGCCTGATTACTGCCACATCTATTGAATCAAGACTTGACTTAAACAGAACCTGTCTGGCAAAGTTAGGGACATCACCAATTTAGAAAGGGTTACAAATCCATTTCCAAGGCTTTGAGACTCGAGCGAAACAAATTGAGAGCCATTATATACAAATGGAGAAAACTTGGAACAGTGGTGAATCTTCCAAGGAGTAGCCAACATAATCAATGACTCATCCAGGAGGTTACAAAAGCAGTTCTTAGTGAAGGGTGGCACAACCAGTTATTAGGTTTAGGAGAAATTACTTTTTCACATAGGGACAGGTAGGTTTCCATAGCTTTTTTTGGATTAATTCAAGTTATCTTTGTCTATCAATAAAATTTGTTTGATGATCTGAAACATGTAAGTGTGCCAAAAAGGGGGGGGGGGGGGGATTCTTGATAATCGCAATATTTACAGTATATTTACAGTAAGTTACACCCCACATGCACATTAGCCAGTGTGCAGCCTATTATAAGAAAAGGACATTGCTCATTTGCAGACAACGCTTCCTTTTATTACATGTGATGTTTGTGTCCTTATTTGATGTGAAACAGCCACAGGAAACTATATTTTAAGAAATCCACTATAAATGCTGAAGAAACTGTGGGAAGCAGGTGAGTACAGGTACACACACACAGTATAAAACTGATGAACATATTTGTGATTGGCCACAGACAACTGAGATTTCCTGTTAGCTTGCTTCACTTTAGGCTCAAAGTGTTCACAGCACACCGTGGTCAGCGCCATGTAGGCTTCGGGACGTGCTCTGATTCAAGAGTTATTCAAACTTCTTCAGGTGGTTGTAGAGAGACTGGACGTATGTAAACACACACATGGGGTCTGGCTTGTCCCCCATCTCCAGCATGTCGTCCACCTCGATCAGACGCAGACAGTCAGCCTGCTCTCTGAAACAGAAATAAAGGTGAATAAAACAGAAAGCAGTTCAATAAGCAATAAATGTATTTGCATATGAACAAAAACTAAAACAGCCGCTCTTTTTTTAAAGCACATCCAAATGTGTACGACTGTAGATTATTATGTTTTATGAGCAAATCAATGCAACGTAAAATAGGAGTAAACTAGTGGCTGTTGTTGCCAGTGTCATGTTTACATAGTTCAAAGTTGTTTAGGATGTAAGCAAACAAAAGAACCCTCTCATGTAATTTTTTTAAAGAGTTAATAAATGTAATGAATAAATCTCCAGTGGCCACACCTTTGACAGTGCTGTTATTCAAAGGGTGATCTTCACTACACAAACAAAGTTAATGATTTATCAATTATTATTAATTTCATGACTAAACTATCAATTAGTGATGAAAGATTAATCTATTTGTTTGGGTATTAAATTTTCCCTTCTTTTTCTTGTAACAGTCATGCTAATGCTGAAAGTGATGTTGAAACAGGAAATACTAGTGGGATTCTTGAGAGAGGATGCTTCACTATGGTAACCAAGGAAACAAGCCCACAAAACAAGTGGAAAATGTTACATTTTAACCAAAACCATGAACGTCCTTTTAGTGCTTAAACTGATACATTTATCTTCTTCTTTCAGCTGCTCTCTTTTAGGGCTCACTACATCATCTGCCTCCATCCCAACTTGTCCCACTGACCCCGCCGTCTGTCTCCAGACTCTTTCCTGTCACTGGTGCTCAGTATGAACCTGCCCGTGTTTGAATCATTATTAACTGCTAAATTAGACACTTAGCAATTAGCACTGTGTTTGAAAACATTAGCAAAACAAAGGAATCACCGCTATGATTTCCTATTGGAGCCATGCTACGTAAATGAAATAAGTCAAATTTTTAAAAAAATACAAATACATTTTTAAAAAAAAGCATTTTTGTGAAAAATTAAAATGTGTCATCTCTGGGTTTAACATGATTAATTTAAGAACTATATCCTGGAGGATTTTTAGATGATAAAAACTGTAATCCAGAAATCATTTTTAGAGTGATATTCATTGAGAATAAGGTTATACATTTATGGGGGGGAAAGTCCAATATTCACTGAGACTCTTTGAATTTACTTCTCACATGTAAGGCTTTAAAATTCCAATCTCCCTTGTGTTTTCTCACAAATTTATGACTTTATATTTCCAAATATATCAAGCTTTTTTCCCTTAATTATTTTAATCCAGTAAAACCTGAACTGAATTGGCAGAAAATTGTAATTTTGTTTATCAAGCCTTCTGTAAGTATCAGAATGCATATATTAGTTTTCATTTTTGTAATAATTGCTATATCCAACCACTTGGGCAATTTATTCCTCACAGTTTTTAAATCTTAAACAAACCAAAGTAGGTTAGAGTTAAAAATTACACTGATGATGTAACGTTTTCATAAATTCATGTATCAAATACGATACACTTGACGTTACAGGGTTAAACCTGGTAAATTTAGTTTTTTGTTGCAAGAGTGTCACCTCTCCTGGCTTCAGCAATTTATTATTCCACCTAAAACAGACCTTTTATCACACTGCACAGTCACTCAGTGGCTCTTCGACCCAGCTTACTCTGCGGTGGTGAAGGCCAGCTCCAAGTTGTGTTTGCGGTTTGAAGGGTCCAGAGAGTTGTAGTCAAACTCCAGAGGGAAGAAGGAGTGGACCAGGGCGCAGAAGGCCATCCCATCGCTCCAGCTGGACGAGAAGTTCTGAATGTCTATGTTCTGAGAGAAAATAAACAGTCATGGGTTTCTTTTTCATTTATTTATTCACTCAGAGCAAAGCTGGCAATATTCACTAATACACGGTATCTCTTCCTGATGAAATTACCAGCCAGAAAGCTCAAGAGGTGAAGACCGCCCGTCCATAAAGTTCAATCTTTGCTTTGCTATGAACCTCTTTATGGATACAGCTTATTAACCAAGCTTTCTAGCGGTAGCTGATAACTTGGCACGCAACCTGAAAAAGACTTCATTTTGGCAAATCGAATGAGTCCAGAGTGCAGCAGCCAGAGGTCAACCACTGGTTTGCCAGATCCCATTCTGACACCTTGAGATTGGTGTTTTCAGATCGGTGCTGTCTTTACTGTCTTTAACTGATGTTTTGCAGATATGTGACCACTAACCATGTGACGTTAACTTGTCCACCATTGTGAAACTCACGGTGACAGTGTAAGACCAAGTGACAAGAAAAATTGCCAACCAACTAAGTGATAGGCGGAGGTTGATGCAAAAATGATTGCCAAAGCCTCTGTCACACAGATCTATAGATTAGCCCCCAACCATCTGGAAACTCCTGTTGCTAGCGAAAGGTATGTATTCTCCAACTGGCTGGCAAAAATGACTGCGGTCATAGTTTGAATGGAAGTGATGGACGTCTCTAAAACACCGTCTAGCTACACTCCAAGCTGTAGTGAAACTTGAAAAAGTGCAACACAGACCAAAAATGCAGACAATTTGCCTTCCAAGTAAAAGCTCCACCTTTTGAAACATGTTGGTCGCAGCACTAAAGTGAAACTTATTCTGAAGGTGAACCTTCTTGATTTACGGTTTGCATTGCACTATTTCAAGTTTTACTATTGCCCAGCTACTTGTTAGTAAGTATTTGCAGACAAACACAAAAAAACTAAAGACATCAGGGGCAATCTGGTCACAATTAATGCAACCACTAGGAAGATTTTTGTGAAAGACCTTCTTTGAACCTAGTTTCACCCAGTGAGAGCCAGAAACCTCCAGGAAATATTGTCAACCAGTCAGGGAATATACACATTTTTCCACAGCACCAGTGGTTATATCACATCTAAAACCCTCCTAATAACCGAGGAAAAAAGGGCTTCCCATTGAACTTTGTGATTTCCTTCCTCTTTGGAGCTAAGAGTCCACCCAAACACAAGAGATATCAATGGAAAGACCAGGATTTCTTCTATTTATTCGATCAGGACTTATTAGGATAGCTCAAATAAGTCAAAAGATATAGACCAAAAACAAATGTCCATTACAGAGGACATAAATGAATAGGCTGGTTCTCAGGAGGATATGGCAGGCAACTCTGGAACAACCTCAGTGAGACTAAAACTTATCCCCCCCTGGTGGCTGTTAAAAAGAATGCAGGTTCAAGGCATTTCCACAGATCCATCTTTTCCATCTATCTTTTAGATGTCTGTCGTCCAGAAACCAGTGGGTGACATCATGGTGACTACACCCATCCTTTATATACAGTCTGTGGAAATAACCATCAGATACAGTACTGGAGCAGAATGGTAGTTTTATACCTTTATTTTTCCCCCAGCTGTTACAAACAATGAAGCTATTCAAATGTTCAAGTTTTAAAAATAATGATAGAAAAATTAGTTTTAGAGCTACTAACTGGAAGAGATCCAGCTTGTCATACCTGATAGCCAATGGTTTTGGAGCGACACCACTCCAAGAGGATCTGTTTTATACCACTGGCACTGGACACGCCAAAGCTCTGAGACCGCTTCAGTTTAGGCTTCGAGTCTTTTGGCCTGTTGGAGACAAACACAGCTTATTTTATGACAAAATAAAGAGGGACAAAAGGTGAAAAAGCAGAACTTATTTTGTATTCTGTTACTTTATAGGCTCTGAGTTCATCCTTTCAAACAAGGCTCGCTTTGCTTGAGCGCCATTGGAGCGTGGAAGCGTTTGGGACTTTATCACGTCCTGCTTAAAGTCGCCCCCCACTGGCTTGTTCGCTCTCCTGTGGAGAAACAGCGGACGACAACACGAAACATCAGGATGGAGTTGGATGAAGTTTGACTGAAGCAGCCATTCAGATTAATCAGGGCTGTTGATTACAACTTACTTCTCCAAATTAGGTGAGAAGCCAGATTTTATGATTGATTTGGAGGGAAGTAATTTTTCTGTAAAAAAAAAAAAAAAAAGGGGGGGGGGGGGGTGGCAACAAGTGATGAGTAGGCATAACCAGAGAGAACTCAGAAGCTTCTTTTATCTGTTTTAATAGGCCTGAAGAAGCTTTACCTGCAGACTGAGGGAAGCTCACACTTCTCTTTAAACTGGGGCTGGGTGTCTTAAGTACTGGCACTAAATTGAAAACAAGAGTCAGAGTTAAAGGAAGATACAACATAAAAATAAATAACAGGTAATAATAACTGTAAAAATAATGGAAATAGGAACAGATGAGAAGCAGACGGCCTCGGTCAGACTCACCACGTTTAAAGGGATACTCTCCAGGTTTCACTGCAGCGTCCTGTGAAGCTGAAAGGCTTGAAGACTGAACCGTTAAAGCAGACGAAGAAGACTCCGTGTTGGGTTTGGTCATGGCAGAGAGAGGCGAGTGGGGCTTGGCTTCACTGGTGTCTAAAGAGGAGATGAAATAAAGCGTGTTTTAAAAGTAGGGGGCCAAACAAAACACCGTTGCTGATACTTCGGCAGTGCACGCACCACGTCTAAATGGATATTCGCCGCGCTTTATCGTCGGTGACTCTGGCATCGAAGGGTTTGGCGCTGAAACCGCTTTGGGATCAGATTTAGATGAAGCAGGAGTGTCAGAGCTGCTTTTGGTTAACACTGTGAGAGGAAGATGGGGGAGAGTCTGAGACACAGAGGCTGACTGATCCTGGGATGCCTGGGACCTTTGTTCCTTCGCTCCACCTGCACAGATGGAGATGATACAGCATTAAAACAGGAAAGAACCTAAATCACTAAAAAACCTAAAGTGTAAAACACTTAAAGACACTTCTCCACGGTTGGGTTCACAATGGAAAAAAAAGTCAAGACTAGGTTTTCCTGAACCCACACAGGCCCAGCCCTGATCCAGGTCTGACCATAAGCTTTAAAGAGGAAAGTTTTCATTCTAATCTTAAAAGCAGTGTTTTGCATTTTTCCCTCTGAAAGCAACTGAAACCGTTAATCAAAATAGTTGCTGAATAAATGTTTGTCAATCAGCTAATTAATAAACTAATTGCTAAAGTTTTAATACAAATATGTTACCTTGAAATAAAAATGATTTAACAAACATGACATCTTCTTTCTGTAGAAATGTTTTAGACATAATTGTAAAATATGTAATTCAGACAAAAACTAACTCTTAATTGTGACATTGTAGCATATGCAGGAAAATGTTAGCGAAAAAAATATGTTCACAGTAAAAATATGTCTACATATTATGACGGTAAAAATTAAAATAATGTCTTGTTTCTTAATTTACAGCCACTAACTGTTTCTACTACGGAGATCTACTGTTTTGGATTTTACAGTTTATTTCTGCTGCCATTTTAAAGTTTTTTAACAAACGTTTTTTTACAGTGTCGGAGCTGGCTGTGTTAAAATATGTTCAGAGTTTCTGTGTGAAATCATCTGTAAGCACCACATTTTTGATGATCCTTTTCATATTTTGCATGCTGTAAGTGTGATACAGATTCTCTGCTGCAGGAACATTTTTTACTACAGCTGTTCCTGACTGTACCAAGGACTGAGCGTAAACTTAGAGGAGATCCTGCTTTTGCTCTAGCAGCTCCAAAACTGTGGAACAATCTCCCTTTAGAGATTAGACAGGCCTCCTCTCTGCCTGTTTTTAAATCACTCCTGAAAACCCACCTCTTTACCCTTATTTAATTAAGTTTTGTGCTAATGCTAGCTATTACCTTTGGATACTTCATGCTAGACTCTAGCATGAAGTATCCAAAGGTAATAGCTAGCAGTGTGTATTGCTCTAGCAGCTAGAGCAATACACACTGAGTAGCTTTCAGTGTTAAATTGAATGATTACCTCTAAACAGCTGTCCTGTTAGAAATAAATGGCAGCAGTGAAAGTAGAATAAATAGATCAAAAGATTAAAGGTATTCTGCAGTGCTGCTCTCTTGCTGTTCTTCTCTCTCCATCACCCTTTGCTGTCTCATTCTTATTTTTAAAATCTTTTTTGGGTATCTTTATCCCCTGCTCCTCTGATGATGTGTCTGACTGAAGTAGGCAACACTCAGCAGGCCAATTTTGAGCACATGAATGATGAAATTACACATAGAGCGCTCAGAGCCTGGAACAGAAAGCGTACCAGTTGTCTCTTAGTGTGACTTTAGGTTTTGTCGAGCCAAGAAAAAAAAGAATGGATTTGTTGAAAGTACTGCACCTCTCTGTCACAGTATAGGGGTGCAAAGATCGTCTGATACTGCTGACACGGATGCTGCCTCACTCTGTTTTCCTCACTTTGTCGTAGGTGAGTTTGTTTTCGCTGATGAAATCATAACTAAGCTAAAAAAAAAGGTGGATTTTGTAACCAACAGAAAGTTAAATTGATCCAGGAGTTTGCTGAATACCTACGGACCGTGAAAAAAGACGCCACCTCGTCAATGAATTAAAACTAAAGAACTAAAAATGACTTCATGTGTTTATTTTGCACTTCATATATTTCATGGTATCAGCTAAATTGTATAGCTTGAATGACAGGTGAACTTCTGCTCTCTGTATTTAAAATCAAGGCCACTTATGCATAGACATTTTCATATTTAATTGAGGACTAAATTCCTCCAGGCGCCCTGACCTGATACTTTTTGTATTATAAGGTGTGTCCATGTCCTCGAGGTTAGCATCCTAACAAATAATC